CAAGGTGACTCACAGACAAAGAATCCACACAAGACCATGAGGTTGCAAAAGAGTCAGACATAACTGAGCAACTAAACAGCAGCAACAACTAATGTCTCAGATAATTTTGATTTCAAAAAACAAAGGTTTTTTTTTTTTTCCAAAAGCCAAAGGTTATGGGCGTTTAACAGAAGATTAAATGATTCTGTTTTTGTTTTTTTTAACTGGAGGTATTTCATCCTTTGAAGCACTTCCCAAGGGGTCTCACATAAAGTTGCAATCCAATCTGTGTATTTATATTAATGAAACAATAGATACAACATACAACTCGAGTTTATTTTGGAGCACTTTACAAATTAGGTATGATTGGATTAATCCTTATTTTCAAATAAAATCCTTCACCCAAGATCAGCCCAGTGAACTTATTTTAACACATTATTTTTCAAGCTAGAGTAACGACTCAGGCTAAGCAAAATTCTATCACAACTATGCCAGAAGACTTCAAACAGGCACGGAGATCTGCAAAGTAAATTAAATTTTCTGTTACTATCTCAGACTCATAACCCTCTCCCTCAACCCTTCATCTAAAATTGCCACAAATATTCTGTAACTGGGTCAGGGCACTTGCTTGGGGGAAGAAAGGCATATTAAGGAGCATTCAATTATGTCTCAGACATAAGGAGCAAGTGAAGCAAATGTAATATCCTGTCAGAAGATTTGAGCATAATTTTCCGCTGTCTCCCAGCTTTCATCCCCAATTGTCAACATGTGACTATCTTCCCTGCCACTTACCAGGAAGCCTTTGAACAAGTCAATGGAACTTATTTTTATTCAGTATTTGTTTTGTTCCATATGTATTATTTGTCTTCTCTGTAAAATCGGTCTTCCTGTGAGATTAGACTAGCACAGTTTCTGTGTGTTAGTCTGAAATCTGTTCCCTTAGTGGGAACAGAAATGGACTTAATATCTTTGCCATTCCTCAACATTACAGCTAGATTTTCCTCAGGTGCCGAACTAATGCAAAGAACGTGCCGCACTTGCCTTAGCACTGGAGGTCATAGCAAGGTGGGCACTGGACCGAGGGTGAGCGCCAAACTACCTGCTCAGGACTCTGAACCTCCTCAAGGTCAACAAAGTGAAGCACAGTAGCTGGCAGACCTTGCTTCATCACTCACGGCCCTTCGGCCAGATTATTAGCTCCTTACTGGCACATTCTGCAGCTTTGAATGTCTAATGTCCCAAAACTGCAGTCTCCTGATGTACATGCTCACCCTAGGCATTCAGTGAGCCAGAGTCAGTAGAAGGAAGAATGTAGAAAAGTCAGATCAGAATACAAGCCTTTAGGGTAAAGTAGAAAACCTGCTTGATAAACCAAAGAAATAGGTCTCATAGTAATATGATTAATAAGTTACAAACATAGATATAGCTATAGAATTGGGTATAGACAGACATCGATTAAATATGCTAGATTGATTTAAATTTAGTAATAGCGTTCCCCATAATCATTTTTTAATTAAAAAATAATAATACTGAAATTTGTGCCAATAAAAATAATGTCATCCATTTTTCTATCAGAACTGCTAAGAAAAAGGAATCAAAGATAATAAATGACTACAGATAACCTATGAATATTTCCACATAGAGAATAAAGGAGAAGACAGGCAGGTGAGTACAATAAGCAATGTCATGCTGGGCAACTGGCCCAGACATCTACCCCCTGTCACCAAGAATGATTTGCAATGAAACACAATGGTTACCTACCATGACGTCAACCTCCAGAAGTTAGAAATATGCCCTGAAAGCAAGTGGCTTTTGCTTAGCGATTGCTTATGAAACTGGTTTTCTTTTTATTTTGGGGGGGGGTGGGGAAGGTGACCTCGGGGAGCTTCCCTGATGGTTTGGTGGTGAAGAATCCACTTGACAATGCAAAAGACACGGGTTCAATCCCTGACCTGGGAAGATTCCACACGCCACGGAGCGACAAAGTCCATGCACCGTAACTGCTCAGCCTGTGCTCCCGAGCCCAGGAGCTGCAACTACTGAGGCCTGCACATCCTGGAGCCTCTGTTCTGCAACAAGAGAAACCACAGTGAGAGGCCTGCGCTTCACAGCTAGAGGGTAGCCCCTGCTCTCGGCAAAAAGAGAAAAAGCCTGCACAGCAACCTAGCCCCAGGACAGCCAAAAATAAAAGCAAATAAATAGAATTTTTAAAATATTCTTTATTTAATATTATTAATTTTAATTTTAAAATGTTCACCAATTACACTTTTCAGTTTGTATCTGTGTTAACTACCTGATGTAGAAACCTCACATGGATTTGATTTACCTGTTCACCTGTAGACATCAACCGTATCACTCTGGCCACCATATTTTTAATATTTTTATTTTCAAACTTAGTTCTGATCCTCTTAGTATGTCCTTATGCCAAAACCACACACAGCATTTCAGGGGGCAGTACAAGGTGATTATCTTGAGCTAAAAAAACTCCAAAAATATTAAAATCATAGTATCATCTGCAAGTAATGAGTGCTGGGCTGTCTGGCTAATCCATGAAGTTAACCTAAATGTTAATAGTCAAAACATTCTGAAAATAATTCCCTAACATATTCCCTGGTGGCTCAGATGGTAAAGAATCTGCCTGCAGTGCGGGAGACCTGAGTTCGATTGCTGGTTTGGGAAGATCCCCTGGAGAAGGGAATGGCAACCCATTCCAGTATTCTAGCCTAGAGAATTCCATGGACAGAGGAGCCTGGTGGGCTACAGTCCATGTGGTCACAAAGGGTCAAACATGACTGAGCAACTCACTCACACACACACACATCAGTTAAATCATGGATGGTCCAAGGAAAGACTTCTATGGTTAGATCACTGGACACAAATTTTAGAATCAATAAATAGTACCCACAGGAGAAGAAGGGGGTTCTAGTCCACTAAAACTAGTTATGGAGGAAGCTCTCCATTGGACCACGTAGAAGAAGAGAAAATCCAATTCCATTGGATGTTTCAGGAGACCTGTTCTACAGACAACTTCCTTACCCTGAACATCACTTACATAATTGAGTCTATATTTATTCTCAGAAACTTTAAAGAAGGAATGGTTCCATTCATCCTGATATTAATGTTCATGACTCACCAGATGCTGCACTAATGTAAGAATTTAGCACTCAGATTAACCTAAAGCATTAGCTTTAGTATGTCAACCTTCCATGAGCACAAATTTTATAAGACTGAAAAGCCATCGTTAAAGGAAACAATTAGTCCTATCATTCCTTCCACATAACCCTTACCCCACACACTAAGAGAGAGAGAGAAAGAGTGTGTGTGTGCACTTACATTATAGCAAAAAGCATCAACGGGCAAGAAGAAGTGAAGTATTTAAAGGCATGATTCCCAGTATTGAAATCAAAGTGACAAAAGATGTCCTATTTTAGCTCTGAAGCCACTCGTCATCTATAAAAGGTAGAGAATGATAACCTACAGATCTTTGGGAGTAACCAAAGAAATGGCGTTTGCCACACATCTGCTAAACTACAGTGACTTCACAGACATATCCCTGAGCACTGTACCTTTACCAACATCATACCGCCTTTGCTGCTCCAGGCAGGATGGGTCAGGGTGGACCCTATCAAAGGGTCACCTTGAGAGGAGTTGTAGTTTAGATATTCAAAGGATGAATGAGAGTTGTTGTATTTCACATATGATAGAAACAGGATAAAATAGAGCTTAAGAATGATGCTCTGACCAGCTGTGTGACCTTAGACAAAAAATAAAAAAGTACTTGTAAGCTTCTCCATCTGTCAAAAGGAAGTGATAATATCTTCCACACACAGTTACTAATTGTATTCAAAATGATAAACTACGAACATGGCACATGGCACATAGAAAGCACTCAAATACAAGTTATTATTAATAATCAATAACTCATAAATATATAGATAGATCCACAGATATCACCTAATCAGCTTCTACATTAAACATAATATTGTTCCCCATGGTGAGATAGCTTAATAGAAACACAGCAAGCTGTCAAACTCTAAATGTAGTCAGGCCTGCTTCAAGTTTCAAGCATTAAATTATATTTGACATTTCATTTAGAAATATCAGAGAAACTCAGTGTAAGCCAAACCCCCACACTCATTTTAGAAAGATGTGGTTTTGAAAGGAAATAAAATCTTCCCCATTATTATTTGGAAAACAGCACATTTTAAATGGCTTTATACAAATTTTTTCTTGTATAATCCAACATTTTTGTAAATGCATTTCCTTTTGAATTATTTACTGATATCTAAAATGCAATGAATACAATTCTACATTGTGACAGAATTCTTATTTACACTGAAGAATGGATTTGAGAATAATCATCAAAGTGATCAGAACGGAGTTAGAAAACCTTGGTTCTAATCCCTACTCAGCTTCTGACTACCTCTGTGACTCTGGAAGATTGTATTTTGGGGCCACAGAAATATTTCCTATCCCCTATGCTCTTCATGCATTGCCCCTTGACACCCATCCACTTAGCAGTAAGGATCCCTTCCCCTTGAACCTCAACAGACCTTTAGGACAGCCTCAACCAACAGAGTACTGCGGAAGTGATACTTGCAGGTTTCAAGACATGACCTTAAAAATGGTGCTCACTTCTGCTTTGTTTTCTGGGAGTGCTTGTTCTGGGAACCCAGCCCCCAAGCTGTGAGGAAGCCTGAACTAGGGCATGTAAAACCCCTGGAGAGACCAGGGTCAGTGTTCCAGCCAAAAGACCAGCTGAGAGCCCAAACATCAGTGGCCTACCTACCACTCACGTGAATGAAGGCGTCTCCAAAAGTTTACAGCCCAGATGCATCAACCCCAGCATTCACACCTTCCCAGCTGACGCCCCAGCCGCCAGGGCCCTGCTGAGCCCAGCCCAGATTCCTGGCCCACAGAGACAGCATGACTATCACAATGGTTACCGTGTACCATGGAGCTCTGCGCTGGTATACGGAGCAATACTGAATGGAACAGTGGCCTTGGGCTAGTTCTGTATTCTAACCTTCACTTGCCTGAGTGCCTAACATGAAGAAGGAGAACCTCTAACACAGGAATGATGAAGAATACATAACACAGGTGAAAACATTTAAGTAGAAGTATTCCCCACCTCCTCTCTCCCCAGGCTGCTCAACAGAATTCTTTTGTGTTGATCTGCTCCAGGAAATCTGCAGTCCTGATTAAAATAATGCATTAAAAATGGAGTATTGGAAAAAGACAAGAGAGAGTAAAAAACCACCGAAAAAACTCCTGGAGAGTGAGAATATCCGGATAGTTAAAGAGAAGTTTTAGAAAGCTTTTCTAAGAAACATATTTTAGGATACAATTTTTAAAAGGTTTGTGTGTTCTTGCTGTGTACTTGAAGATACTTCTCAGTATCTTCAAGACAGCTTTGAGATACACAGATATTATTTTTCAAATCTTTGTATAAATGTTTGTGCTTATATTGGATATGACACTGGGCTTAAAGCAAAACCAGAGGACCCAGATTTAGTTGTATTTCACCAAGCTAAAGATAGTGCTCTTATATAGTAAATAAGAATTTGATGGACAGCATCTCAAATAATAAGAACCCAATGATAGACTACTATTACTGTTGATCTTAGGGTCTAATACATAAATCCTATTAGCATTCTCTTAGCCACATAATTCTACTTCACAGTACCTTGCTGGAAAAAGTCAAATTTTCGTTGTTTCATTCTACTTTATCTTTGCATCAGAAAAAATGTGTTTTAATTCTATGGAAACAAAAGTATTCCAAATTATAGGTTCTTTTGACAAGTATTTACTGAGGGCCAATTTTTACTAATACACTCTATGTACCAAGCACAAGACAAAGACATATATGTATTCTTCCCTCAAAATACCTATATCCTAGTTGGAAATAAGAGAAATAAGCATATGAACAAGTAAACAATCCATACAAGTGTCAGTTTAGAATTTAATAGAGTCTTCATACAAGAGAAAAGCAAAAATCAATAGTACGCACTCAGGAAGTACAGGATTCATTCTAGAAAGATCTGGGAAATTTTCCTGTAGGTCAAAATGCCAAGTGAGGCCTTAAAGGAGAAATAAGATCAGTTATATAGGAAGGAAAAAAAAAAGGTCATTCTGATCCAAAGGATGAAGCACAAAGTGCTGCTTCTGTGCTGCTTGTTTGACCAGTTGGTTGGTTGGTGGGGGGTTGGTTTGCTCTGGCTTCGTTTCCTTTTTAGTAAACGGACTGAAGCAGAAAAAAATATGCATTAGAGAGCTCAGCAAGAAAAGTTTAAAAAGGCAGATAAGAATGAGTCTGTGGTGAGTTTTTTCTACGATCATCAAAGAATCACTAGCAACTTCAGAAGGATATAGAAAAATAAAATCTTCAGCAATGCTTGTTATGAAGGCAGTGTACAGGATGCAACAGAGGAAAAACCAGAGACAAAGGCAACTGGTATTAATTACTGCCAAGCACGTGATGATACAGACCAGAATTACCCAAAAATTACAAACACACTGAAGCCTGGGGGAATATTTTGATATCACTAAGAACAACCTCATGAGTTAGAAGTGATGTAACTTCAGACAAGTCCCAAGACAAACAGGAGCTAATCTGTGGCCGAACCAAACTAGAAACAAAATTCTTAAATTCAAATTCCACTCCTTCTTTGATACTATGAAATACCTCCTATAAACACATTATTAATTAACTATCCTGGCAATTGATTAACTAATCCCAGTTTTCATCTGAATGATTGTCTCGTTGGAAGCCGGGGCTGGTTACACTTCAGTTGACAAGAGTATTTTAGCATCTCTTGAAAGTCTCATGTTCCAGAATTTGTCCATAAAATAACATCACTGCCATGAGATGGCATTAAAATAATGGTAATGCATTTATATGAACTTTGTCACAGGGAAACTTACATGAATCATGACTGGAAGTTTGTCATAATAAACCCAGTATTTAAGATAGCAGATAAATTTACCTACCATTCTTGACAGTTAATGACAGATCCCAGGCAGACATCCAAAGAGTGTCTACACTAGGCCATGTATTCACATTTTTCACATGTCTTAGTTACTGTTATAATTCATTTCTGCTTTGTTTCTGCAATCTGTTAAGACTAGACAAAACAAAAGCAGGACCCCAGAAATGGAGGCTCAACCTGTGCTGTGATTGACATGGCAGAACCTTAATCCCAGCCTACACAGCAGAGTTACTCCATCTCCCAGAAAATCCACAGTTCCAGGATACATGTTTGGAGGGCATTATAGAAAGATCTTTCTGATAAAGTCTAGAGAAATGAATGGGTTTAGATGAAGAATAATTGTAGATTTTTAGGGTTGAATTTTGCTAAATGTTATTGATTTAAATCTTCCTCTATGTGCACCACCTGTTAAATTCTTAATGCTAATCTTTACCCAATTTATAAAGAATTGTGAGTTTTTAATGCTGAAAAATATGATTATCTCCTGACAGCAAACATGAGGCTGTTCAATGATCATGACTGAAGTTAAAGCATTACTACCAATTGGTTAAAACATACTTAATTGTCAATTATTTCAAATAGTAGGGACTTTCTGGAAATACACAACTTAAGTTAAACAGAAAACTCCTAAATTAGCATCATCAATGTCACAATTGCCTACATTACAAAAAAAGAAAACCTTTAAATCAAAATTTGAGTCAAAAACACCATGTCATTCAACACCATTTCACATTCCTGCTAGTCTAACCTCTAAAGGAAGCTATATTAAAATGCAAACAATTTACAATCACTGCATTTATTTACATACCACACAATGTTGTGTATATATTAGCTAATAATACTTTTCATACATGAAGCACTTTATAAATTAGAAAACAAATTCACATTAACTGTCTGCAAATCTTTCATGCAGACACTACTTTAGAACACCATTCAAAGTACTTTTTTTAAGTCCACTAAGCGCTGAGTGTATCTTTGACTACATTTCCTTATGCTAATTTCTAGTAAGTTATTTCACATTTTTACAACTTCATCAAATAGCAACAATCCTCAGTCAGTCCATTGAAACACATGCCCAGATAATAGCATGTAAATATATAGCAAGTCAGAGGGAAGGTCTTCCTGAGGCTGCTTGATATATGAAGGATAAAGGGAATGATTTCAGCAGTCAAAGAATCAGCAGGGACAGGAAAGTGCCAGCTCTGATTAGAAGCCTTGAAAGCACTGACAGCAGCATCTCAAGGTAAAATAAGATTTTAAAAAACTCACTCTGCTTCATAGAGCTTGTGAGTGGTGCGAGGTGATTGGAGGGGAAAACAGGATTTGACCTTTTCTTAGCGAAGTAAAAGAAGTTCATCCATTGAACTGGAAGCTTTTAGTGGAGTAACTGGAAGACAAAGCTATAAACTTGAAAGAAAGAGAAAGCGCCAGACTTCACAGTTTTATCAGAGAAGGTGCTTCAATCAGTTTACATTTGATTTTAACTCAAAGAATTCCTACATAACCCCTGAACAATCCCCTTTAAGATTCAAAATTTCTCACAAATTCCTCCTTATTAAATTCAACACATAGAACACTGCAAAATGCATTAAGCCCTTCAGGAAACACTACTGCATCACACAACATATCAAAGCATATTAAAAATTATCTCTATGAGAGGGAAACATGAAACTAGAGCTTGTGAGATGTTAAAATAACAACCTAGTGTTTGGCTAAACACAGGACAGACCCCACTCCCTCTTTCCACGCAGCACTGCTACTTTTTGTTCCCATTTCACTGGGAGTCTTTGGTGTTAGAAAGTCTCATGTTTACCTCCTACTGGATTATCTTTTTTGACTTGACCATAATAAACTCAGTTTTTAAAAAATGAATTTTGAATTAATGATGGTGGTGAAAAGTAATATACTGTAGATGTTAAATTAGGTTTAAGTTTGTAATAAACTGTTACTATTTTTTTTTAATTAAGTTTTAACATCTAGTTATCTCTCCTTTATCACGTTAACCAGTAACCCCACAAATCAAAGTACCTGGGGAGGAGAAATGCCTAGTCAACCTATATTTTGTATCTTAGAACTAATTTTCAATAATCTATAAGGAAGAAAGCAGGACCAGTCTGCATCTAAAGAATCTCATGTGAGTCATCACTGATTCATTTCCTTTTCATCAGCTTCTTGAACCAAAAACACAGTAAATAAATAGTTTGACAAATGAATAATGAAAATTAAGAGGCAGATAACTGACTGAATCATAATACTGTTGATCCACTGAAAACAATACATTAACCAGAAAACAACTAAAAACCCACATAAATGTCACATTCTGAAAAAAGCACTTTAAAAAAAGAAAATAATAGTGTAAATAAAGGGAGCAACTAAGTAAATAAATCAATGACTGGGTATAGTAATCAGAATAGTAGCTTCCCACAGATGTCTATGCGTGGCTTCCCAAGTGGTTCAGTGGTAAAGAATCCGCATACAATGCAGGAGATGCAGGTTCGATCCCTGAGTCAAGATCCCCTGGAGAAGGAAATGGCAACCTACTCCAGTATTCTTGCCTGGGATAAATCCCATGGACAGAGAAGCCTGGTGGGCTACAGTCCATAAGTCACAAAGAGTCAGACACAACTGAGCAACTGAGCATGCATGCAGTCACAAAGATGTCCATGTCCTAATCCCAGAGATGTATGAATATGTTACCACACATGGAATGCAACGATTTATTAAGGAAAAGGTCTTAAGAAGAGAAGATTACCTGAATTATCCAGGTGGATCCAAGGCAATCATCAGGATCCCTACAAAAACTGGGTAGGACTGCCAGAACCAGGGAAGAAAATATGACAATAAAGCAGAAGTCTGGATGATGGGATTGCTAGCACTGAAGATGGAGACAAGGCCCACAAGCCAAGGAATGTGGGCAGCCTTAAGACATTAAGGAAAGAAAGGAATACATTCTCCCCTAGAATCCCTAGAAGGAATGCAAGCCTGCTGACACCTGATTATAGCCCAGTGATTTCCCAGTCCCACTTCCCCCTTTAGAAAAAGATAAATCTGTGGTAGTTTGTTATAACAGCTATAGGAAACTAATGCCCTGGGCCAAATATTACTCCTGAATTTCCAAATCTGCTTTTCAGTTAAAAGAAGTCATTTTCATTTAAAAATGAGAAGATTGTGAGCAAAAACCTCAGAGGAAGATATGATTTTGTCCATCTTAAAGGATACTACTTAATCCAATCAGATGAATATGCATGAGAGAGGCATGTCTCTTATTAAGGGGGAAATCTGTTCATCTACGACTCTTAAGTCAAAGTTAATTAAGCTGAAAACGCCATCTCACCACCTGAATGTTTCCTAACTTGCTGTTCAGAATGTGATGAGCAAACACTTCAGCTTTTCAATTTAGAAATGACGACTTTCTTGCCTCCTTTGTCGGATCCTAGTCAACAAGGGATTTCGTAATTAAAAGTAACTCCAAACCTTCAGAGAGAGAAAGCCAATGGTCCCAAGTTTCTTATAAATATGTAGGTTTTCTTTATGATTCTTTTAAATGAACCTGCTTTTCTCCATTGCATGAGGATGATAAGTATCCTTTCGCACTAATAACCTTTCAATATTATTAACTATGTTTTCCTTTCAGTTCTAAAATAAGCACCTGGTTCCTGGTTAAGAAAAATCTCTGGAGAGGCATGGCTGCTAAATGGTGTCTGTTTCTATAAACACAAAATATGTCATTAATCCAGCTTTATCCCGGAGAGGTTAGTTGTTTACATGCATTATGGTGATTTTATTGTATCTTATTAAGGAATAATAGCAAACAAAAGCAACTGCATTAACAGAGGCTTGTAATAAAATGTAAGGTTTTTGCTGTTCTAATTAGTCACACTCATTTTAGGAGAGAATGAAGCCAGATATGCTCGGTTATGTTTGAGCCCTGAAGACTGTAAAGAGGATCCCCTCCACTGGTTTTCAGCACAGGGGTTTTCAGGCTGCCATGCACGACCGTTCCAGAAGCAAAACCAAACAGCAGCTGAAAAGAACTGGTGTTTAATGCATATGTATGGAGTCTAGAAAAATGGTACTGATGAACCTATTTTTAAGGCAACAGGGAAGACACAGACATAGAGAACAGACTCATGGACACAAGAGGCGGAAGCAGAGGGTGAGACGAATTGAGAGAACAGCATTGAAGCATTCACATTACCATACGCACAACTGGACAGCCAGTGGGAATTCGCCTTATAAGCAGGGAGCTCAACCCGGTGCTCCGTGACAGCCTAGAGGGGTGGGACAGAGTGGGAGGTGGGAAAAAAAAAGTACTGCTCATCCCTCAAGAGGTTTCCCAAAAACTATGTTCCAAAAAGAGAGCTTCCCCGGAAAAAAAAATTAAAATTGTATATTGAAGTAACTGCTACCTTGAGTAACTGGCTAGGTGTGTAGCTGGCCACATGTCTTGAGGAAGGACCCAATACAGGCACAATTAGCGGTACTCGAGCAATCCTGTACTTGTGGGTTTGGAGGCACATGTGTAAAATGAGTAGATGCTTTGAAAAGCCATCTCTCAGCAATGAGTGTCTCACTTCCAACACAGCTCCAAGTATTTTAGTAACTTCAGTTTCTTTAATGAATGCAGCAGGTATGCAAAGGAGTTGCTTCCTCCGCCCCAACACCTGTTGCTTCCCATAAGGATTTTTTGGTGAACAAAGGAGGAAAGGTATGTGCCTGGAAACAGCTACTCTGATTATTATGTCAGCTTTATTTTCTGTGTTACTCTATGAAATCAGATTCTTCTTTTTAATAAAGGATTGATTTTTTTGTTGTTGCTTTACTGTAACAGCAACAAAACTATGCCATTGATTTAATGGGATATTTTTACTATCTTAAGTATATTCACAGAGATTAAGCACCAGTAAATTGTGACGTATTGCAGCCAAAGTGGCATTTGGCTAAATTCTAAGGTTTGTAGTTTGTGTGTGTATTCAGTCGCTCAGTCATGTCCAACTCTTTGCGACCCTATGTACTGTAGCCCACCAGGCTCCTCTGTCCATGACATCTCCAGGCAAGAATACTGGAGTCAGTAGCCATTCCCTTCTCCAGGGGATCTTCCCAAACCAAGGATTGAATCCACATCTCTTGCATCTCCTGCATTGACAGGTGGATTTTTTACCACTGAGCCACCTTTGGAGCCCAGTGTATATCTTACTCATGGCCAAGCAAAAGCCAGGGAGTCCTCAGAATCATCAGTCACCAGGTCTGTGTGTGAGTGAAGGGAATCCCCACTGCCTTTCCTAAGTGTTTGGTAAGGTGGGGGCTGGGGGGACAGGAATCTCAAGAATGGATTAGGAAGAACGGTCTAACAGAACTGAACTCAGAAATGGTTTTAGTACATGTGACAAGCAGGTGCTATTACATGTGAGCACAGCCTATTTACTGACAAGTTCTTATAGAAAACTGTTCAAGAAAAACTGTCAACTACCAGTGGAATGAAAGTTAGGGCTGGGTGAGATACAGATTTGGGTTTATGCAACTGAAATCTTTATAATGGAGGGAATGTCACAGGATCTGAATTGTTATGACACAAACATGAGGCCTGCATTTCTCCTATTGACCAGAACTCTCCCAGCCACTGAGCAGAAGTCCTGCCTTATGATAAATATTTATTAAATGATGAAGGTGTAACTAATTCAAATACATGTTCGGTAAACTGAACATGTAAATTCAGTTCATGTAAACTGCAACTGTCAACTTATTAGGGTCTTCAATAAAACCAGCTTTAAGCAAAGCTATGATTATTAGATCTACAACATAAAAGAAGAATATCACCATGATGGACTTACAGTAGTATCTGTAAGGGGACAGTTAGAGGACCGTGTTTCTAGTAGTTAGAGTGGTATGACCTGGGCTGGGTGATATTAAAGTGAGTCTTGCAAAGAATGGAACTGGTTACAGTTGGGTAGAGTGTATGACACAGTAATTTTGGATTGATAGGCACAATGTGGCAATCTTCTTGAAAAAAACCTTGATGAGGAAACTGTTCACCTTAGGGTCTTCAGAGAAACAGAATACACATGGGAAGAAGTTTATTATAAGGAATTAACTTCATACAATTACAGAAGCTGACAAGTTGCAACATCTGCAGGGTGAATCCCAGCAAATTGTTGGAGACCCAAGAAAGCTGATGGTTTACTTCCAGCCTGAGTTGAAAGGCCTGGGAAGCAGAAGAACCAATGGTGTAGTTGTAGTCTGAAGGCCAGTAGGCTGGAAACCCAGGAAGATGCAATGTTTCAGTTAAATCCAAAGGCAGGGGAAAAAGTCAGTGTCCCAGTTTGAAAGCCATTAGGCAGGAACAATTCTTCCTTACTCAGGGGAGGTTAATTAACCTTTTGTTCTACTCAAATCTTCAACCGATTTAATGAGACCCACCCACATTACTGGGCTTCCCTGGTGGCTGATGGTAAACAGTCTACCTGCAATGCAGGAGAGACCCATGTTCAATCCCTGGGTCAGGAAGATCGCCTGGAGAAGGGAATGGCTACCAACTCCAGTATGCTTGCCTGGAAAATCCCATGGACAGAGAAGCCCGCTGGGTTACACCCCATGGGGTCCAAAAAGTCAGACACAACCAAGCAACTAACCCACACAGTAACATACACACCCACATTATGGAGGGCAATCAGCTCTACTGAGTTTGCCAACTGAAAAGTTACTCTCATCCCAAGACACCCTTCACAGAAACACCCAGAATAATGGACCAAATGTTAGGGCTTCCCCAGGTCCAGTCAAGGTGACACATAACATTAACCACAACACTAAATAAGTATGCTATTTTAATTGGTTCACATTGTTACAGTCCAGGTACCAGCAGCTAAATTACGTTTGCTTATTTTTAATACCAAGTATGTTCTGTTCCTGTATTGTTTAATTATGTTGGTTTCAGTTTCCAAACTTTTATCTCACTTACTCTTAGAATCTCATGTTTAAAAACAAAGGTCCTTAAATCAGTGCAGTCATCTTTCCTATGCATGAGATTTCATGGTTGTCTTCCGGCTAGCCAGTTTAACACTGTGGCTATAAATGTGAAAAGCACTTTCAAAGGCTGGGATTATCCAGACAATACACAATATTCTTGCAGAGTGCCTGCAGATAGTTGGGGACATATTTTGCAGTGAAAGACATCTAGACAAAGGTTGCAGTCTGTGCCTGGCAGTGAGAATACAATCTTATTTCCTGCCACATCAGTCTTCACAGCACAAATGCAGGAACATTTGGGAGTTCCCCAGTCACTGTGATCAGAATAGAACTTCTGATCAAATGACTCAGGTCCTAGAGGAGAACTATCAGCTGTTTAGAGTGGTTATCAAATCCCTATTGCTATAGACGAAAGCCTAACAAACTACAGCCCCACGGACCAAATCTTGTTGCCCTAAGAGTTTGTGGGAGGGCTTCCCTGGTGGCTCAGTGATAAAGAATCCATCTGCCAACACAAGGGACACAGGTTCAATCCCTGGTCCAGGATGATCCCACAGGCCACGGAGGAACTAAACCTGTGTGCCACAACCACTGAGCCTGTGCTCTAGAGCCCAGGAGCCCCAAATACTGAACCCACATGGCCCAACTACTGAAGCCCAGGCACCCCAGACCCCCTGCTCCACAACAAAAGAGGTCACCTCAGTGAGAAGCCCATGCACCACAACCAAAAAGTAGCCCCTGCTTGCTGCACCTAGAGAAAGGAGCAATAAAGACCTGGTGTAGCCAAAAATAAATAAAATTATCCTTTAGAAAAGAGTTATAGGAAAGACCACCCCGTTCATTTACACCTTCTCTCTAGCTGTCTCAGTACTCCCACCGCAGCAAAGCTGAACCACTGTAACAGAAACTCCAGATGCTACAAATTCTAGCATATTTACTACCCTTCCTTTTACAGAAAAACTTGGTTAACCTCTGGTCTGTAGAATAAACAGACACAGAAGTTTTACAGACTGTCTTTCTATGCAGAATGAAATACAAACTTTAAACTATTTTTCTCAGCCAATTATAATATCACAAAACTGCTTTTCTTCTAAAATGTCATTTTATCCCTTTTTCATATTTTACTTGAGGTTTCCTGTCAAGATTGTAAACTCACTTAGCCTTCTCTTCTTGGTTTCCTCAATAAGAAAACCATCTGGACTCCCTAAGTGTGAAGTAATAATTACAAAGAATTTTCATGCGTGTGCTAAGTCACTTCAGACATGTCAAACTCTTTGTGACCCTATGGACTGTAGCCTGCCAGGCTCCTCTGTCCAGGGGATTCNTCAAGTGAAGAACAATATATGACACTTAGCTGTAATACATCTAAAAATGTTTTACAATATGTATGACATACTCACCATTTTGTTTTCATCTACTGCAGTGTAGACACACAGTACTGTATATTCAAAGAATTTTTAGAAATACATAATTGCCCTCAAATGCACACTTACCGATTTCTTGTATTCACAGTGACAAAGCCCCAGGGACAATCATTGAATGAGTATATATCTGGGATGAACATTCATTTAATCCACGTCTTTACAAGGAGCTTCACAATTGACAAGACAGTAAATAAGCTTTTGATGCCCATTTTCATTCTAGGTTTGTGTTTGCTTTCTCCACATCCTTGACTGGAGACCACGTAAATTCCACATATTTGTGGCCTGACTTGGAAAACGGTAGTTTCATCTACATCCCACATGCACTCTTCTCAACTCAAAATACAACTGCGAGAACAGGAATTAATTAGTTCTCAGATTTGCCATCTGCTTCATTCAAGTCCTACAAGGTGAGAAATGACAAATTTCCACTAAGAGGTAATGAATGTTAATGAGGTTGTGATTCTACCCTTTGAAACAGAAAGAAAGGAATGTTGAGCCTTGCCTGGGAGTCATCCATGTGCTGGCAAAAATGTTTAACAACAGCCTCAGGATTCCCTGGTGGCTCAGTGGTAAAGAATTTGCCTGCCAATGCAGGGGACACAGTTTCGATCCCTGGGCCAGGAAGATTCCATGTACTGCGGAGGAACTGAACCCATGGGCCACAACTACTAAGCCTGCACTCGGGAGCCTGAGAGCCACAAATACTAAACCCACATGGCCCAACTACCGAATCCTGTGCACCCTATATCCCTTGCTCCACGACAAAAGAGGTCACTGCAGTGAGGACCCCATGCACCAACCTAGAGAGTAACCGCTATTAGCCACAACTAGAGAAAAGTCTGCAGAGCAACAGAGACCCAGCACAGCTAAAAGTAAACGAAATTATAGCGGAAAACCTGCCGTGAAGCTGGAGGGGGAGATCTGATTTATAGTTTTTGCCTATTTTTGAAGTATAAAATTCCCACAGATAATGTTAAGCTATCAATCTGAGCACAGTTCAGAAAATATGCACAGTAGAATACTACTTTGTAGTTTCTCCTCTGTAAGATGCAACATTACAGGTAAATGAACTT